CAGCACTGTGGGCATTTGAGCTGGATAATTCTTTGCTGTGTGTGTGTATGTGCATTGTGGAATAGTTTAACAGCATCTTCAGTCTCTACCCACTAGATACTAGTATCGTTACCTGGTTATAATGACCAAATATGTCTCTAGACATTGTTAAATGTCCCCTCAATGGTAAAATTACTTCTGGTTAAGAACCATTAATCTGGGGCTGGCCCCATAGGGCAGTGATTAAACTTTGTAGTAGGGAGCCACATTCCACATGACTGACCTCAGTTTGAATCCTGGTCCTGGTGGCTTGAAAACAGGCTGAGTGTGTGTGTGTGTGTGTGTGTGTGTGTGTGTGTGTGCACGTGCCCCAAATCCTGATGGGACGGAAGAAAAGGACTGCAGAGTGACCATGTCACACTGGGGATGCTTTCTCTCTCTCCTTCTGTCTTTCTCTATCTGGTGAGTGCACGTGCTTTCTTGCAATTAAAAAATAAAAGGACCTATTAATCTGGATTATCATATTGCTTGCAGAAATTTCACTACATTCTTGTACTATTATTAAGATGTTTATTTTAGGGGCCAGCAGATGGCGTAGCAGTTACATCACTGGACTTTAACATGGCCAACTGCGGTTTGAGTCCCGGACCCAGTGGCTTGAAACTCATGCTGGGTGCCTGTATGTGCACACCCAAGAGCCCAGAAGGAAAATGGATAAGAAGGAATTGTAGCATGACCATCCCCCCTGGGGGGTGATTTCTCACTTTTCCTCTTACTGTCTCTGTCTCTCTCTGCGAGAGCATGCACCCTAAGGCAAAAACCTCTTAAGAAAAAAAGAAGATTTTTATTTTAAACTCTTTCAAATATAGGTCCTTAAGAGATAGATTCCATTTGTTTTGTTTACTGTCATGGTGATTGTTATTTTTGTACATAACAATTTTTTTGTTTGTTTTTTTCTCTTCATGAGAAAGAGAGAGAGAAAGAGAAAAGGAAATAAGCACCTTCCAGACCCTGCTAGTATATAGCAGCCAGCCAGGATCCTCGGATGTGTGTGTGTCCAGCATGCACTGGTCGACCTGGGACCTGAACCCAGTCTCCTGCAGTACTGCAGAATGTTGTGCTACTTCTGTACCATCATGGTTGGGCCCATGTAGTTGTTTGTTTGTTTTTTAATTTTTTGCCAGAGGATATGTGGGCTCACCAGAAAGGGGGACAGGGAATGAGAGAGCATCGCTCATGGAGGATGGTCATGTTGTAATCCCTCCTCCTCTATTTCTCTCTCCTTTTGGAATTTTAGGCAGGCATGCACATGTGACTGGTGTATTTTTCAAGCCACCAGGTTCATGCATGAACCATGCAGTTGGCTATGTGGGATCCAGCCATCTTAACCACCATGCTACAGGCTAAGTCGGTCCATAATTTTTAATCCTGAGGTTCCTCATAGCAGAATTTATTCCATAGATGTCACAGATGGCCTGGGTTGTGAAGAGGCTCATATCAAGTGGTTTTTAATTTGCCTCTGAAGCTCTTAATGTGCTTCCCTAGTCAGAGTAATCGTTATGTTCATTTCTTGACTAGAACTTTAAAACAAAACAAAAACAAAAACTTCAAAAGTAGTGATGTTTTTTGACCCTGGCCCTACCTCTCTTTTGCTCGCTTGCTCTCCTTTCCCAAGTGCCCGTCACCACTGGCCCCAGTTAATGCCCTTCACCACCCCAGCATAGCACACTGACATTCTGCTGTCTTTAGCTGGCCCAACTCCACACGATCTGTAGTTTCTTTTTGATATTTTCTCTGAATGTGCCAGATGCTACCACTGACTAATATGAATTTTGCTGCCAAGCTAGACCCCGTTAGTGCAGAGGGAAGACAGCATGCCTGTGCTCTTGCCAGGTGCATGACTGGCAGAAAGCAGTCATTGGTATACCCAATGGAGGACATGACCTGAGCAGATAATGTTCTTAAAAGCAATCATCTAATTTCATTCACTTTGATGGCATTGTTATATTATTGATAATTATGAGTTACAAAAATGGGCTGACTCTATAGTCTAGTGCTTAAGGGACCTGAATCCTACATGGCTGATCACAGTTCAAATCCCAGCCCTTGTAGCTTAAAAAACATGCCACACACATGTGTATGTGTGCTTCAAATCCAGACAGGATGGAAAAATGGAGAAGGTATTGCAGTGTGACCACACCCCATTCGGATTGATTTTTTTTTCCCCCCCTCCTCTGTCTTGTCTCTCTCTGGTGAGTACAACTACTCTCTGGCAATTAAAAAGAAAAGAAGAAAATTACGAAAGTTAGATAATGCTTTTAAAATATAGGGTATTAAAGATTTTATAGTTCTATTTGTTTTTTGGTTTGTTTTTGAGAGATTTTTTGCTATAGGGCATGTGGCCTCACCAGAGAGACAGAAACTGAGAAATAATCCCCCAGGGGGCATGGCCATGCGGCAATCCCTTCTCCTCTCAGGATTTGGGGCATGAACGCATATGCACCTAGTGTGTTTTTCAAGCCTCTGGGTCCAGGACTCCAACCACGCACTTGGCCATGTGGGATCCAGCCACCTTAACCTCCATGTCATCTGTTGGCAATAGTTAGTAGTAAATATCTATTAGAGAAATCATCTATTTTTAGTAAGAGCTTACCAATTCAGATTAGTTACAGAGTAGAAGGTCCGAGTGGTGTTTTATTTTAAAATAAAATAGTTAAAATGTTATAAATGAAATTAAAAAATACATATAACTTTATTACATTTAGTAATACACATAACTTTTATTACTTTAATGAAGTATTTAGTTATTTTAATTGTAACTTGAGTATTTGCAGATACTAAAGAATTCATAACTATTTCCGGTGATGGAAAGTTCTGTAACTCTAGGAAAACTACTTCTTCTAGGTATCTGTCTTTTCTTTTTGACAACAAGAGCTGTTTATGGTCCTGTCTTTCTTTTGACTGCCAGGAAGCTCAGGGACAAATTCACAGTGTACTAAAATCTGGAATACAGTTTATTGTATTCTCTATCCCTATTTTGACTTTCTAGCCTACTTTTTTCCTCTCTTGTTCTCATATAGATTTTTCTATTTATGTATTTTATTGTAAGGTGTCTGAAATTATATATAAATAAATAAAATGGTTCAGTGGTCCTTTCACTAAATATAGCTAGTTAAATATATATTAGGTTATTGGGAAAATCATGACATATTTTTCTGTTTTTCTATGCAAAAATATGTTATGACTTTCCCAACAGCCCAATAAATTTACACAAATATGAAACAACTGTTAGCAATTTTAAGTTGGGTTGTATTTCCAACTTTCTTGAAGTGTATTTATTTATGAGAGAGAGACAGACAGTAAGAGAGAGAGAAGACAGGTACCTCCAACAGAGTCTTCACACCGCAACCCCTTTTCCAATCTCAGCCAGGATCGTGGGCATGCACGTATGCACCCAGCATTTATTGGGAGACCTGGAAATGTGAACCCAGGACTTTCCTATGTGGCTTTAACATCATGGAGCACTGTGTTACCATTGTGCCACTGTGACCTGCCACATTTTTGTTAAAATTGGGTTTTAGCCTGAAATGTTGTCTCATAGGAATAGATAAGGTACTATTCCAGAACTCAAGAGATGATCTAACATAAATTATTGCTGTGAAACTCAAGAGTAGATACCAATTGCCGTTTGCATTCAAATTTTGGGGGGACAAATGTTGAGTTCCAATTGAAGACATTAGAATACACCTTTGGCATGAGCTCCCCACCCCTCCCACCCAGGCTTCATCCCAGGAAGAGATCTTGCTCACATCTTCTGTTCTACTTCCTTCCATCCACAGGTGCTATTATAAATGTTGATGGCAGGCTGGCAGGTGGTTAAAGGTGCTGGATTCCCACATGGCCAACCAGACCTGGTGGCTTGCTTTCTCACTTTCCCTTTCTCTCTCTCTGTCTCTGTCTCTTTCTAGTCAAATTAAAAAATGATAATAATAACAGATGGAATTAAATAAATAAATAGTTCTTAAAAAAAATGCTGATGGCAATGACTGCCATGCAATAATTTGCTGAGTCAGGGGCCTCTGGCACCTTCTTGGGCTCAGGATCTGAAGATGTGATCAAAACTTGACAAGTTCTGGACAGATTCCATGGCACAGTGGTAGCGTGCTGCTGGGGCAATGCCGATTCATATGGGAGATCACGGGTTCAGTTCCCCAGTTGACCTGCACATGCCTGGTTGTGCACCCATGATGGCTGGGAAGGCTGGGTGGAACAGCTGGGAATCAAGTTGTAAGACCCTGTTGAGGCCTTGTTTCTCTGTATCTCTCTCTCTCTGTGTCTCTCGTTCTCACAAAATACGCTAAAAAATAACTTGGCAAAGTAGTGTCAGTTGCCATTGTTCCGCTGTGGTGACAGGTCCTATGAGCATTCATGATGAAAAAGGGCTGGTGGCACTGGGAGGCTGACAGAGGTTTTTGCTTCCAGGTATGAGTGAGGGATTTTAAAGTAGAGAAAGCAACCAGAAAAAGGGAGTAGGGTAGAGACAGAAACATCTTTTCTCTGTGGTTGATAATACCCTACAGAGAGGGTCCCTTTGGCTGAGACCCATATTTGTTCAAGCCCACCTGGATGGGGCCACTGAAAGTGAGAATTAACCCTGGTGATATTGGGTTCTCTAGTCTTCGGCTGTTAGTCACAGGGCTTTTTCTCCTTCCCCTTACTGAGGTCACTCATTGCCATTACATATTTGACAAAGCACGTGGGATTTTTTTTTAGAATATTTTAAATGTTTTTGGTTTCATTTTTAAAATGTAGGGCTTTTTTCTCTGTCTCTGTTGGTTTTAGGGTTAGTCTTAGTGTTTGGCTTTGTCTGTTGAGCATCCCTTTCTGTAGACTTAACATTTCTGCGATTTGAATCTATTAGGTTAGAGAGATCCGCAAGAAAGAAAGAGCCTATACTTGGACTCTTAGGCATAAGTTACCTTGATAAGAGGATTTAAAAAAAAATTCCATTTTAACCACAGACCTCCTCCACTGGAAAAGATTCTGAAAGAAATGAAGAAAGCCCTCAGCAATGAAGTCAGTAGCTGCCTGGTTTTCTGTTGACTGGATTTGTGTTTTTTTACTTCAATTGCTTGAAATGACACTGTACAGGATGTCTGCTGAAGTCATCCATCAGGTTGAAGAGGCACTTGATGAAGATGAGAAGGAGATGCTCTTTTTTTTGTGTCGGGATGTTGCTGCAGATGTGGTTCCACCTAATGTCAGGGACCTTCTGGATAGTTTAAGTGAGCGAGGTAAGCTGTCTGCCACAGAATTGGCGGAACTGCTCTACCGAGTAAGGCGGTTTGATCTGCTCAAGAGGATCTTGAAGATGGACAAAACAGCAGTGGAGACCCACCTGCTCAAGAACCCTCACCTTGTGTCGGACTATAGGTAATTCATCCGCTCT